GCCTGTAATCCCAGCACTTTGGGAGGCCGAGGTGGGTGGATCACGAGGTCAGGAGATTGAGACCATCCTGGCTAACATGGTGAAACCCCGTCTCTATGAAAAATACAAAAAATTAGCCGGGTGTGGTGGCGGGCGCCTATAGTCCCAGCTACTAAGGAGGCTGAGACAGGAGAATGGTGTGAACTTGGGAGGTGGAGCTTGCAGTGAGCCGAGATCACGCCACTGCGCTCCAGCCTGGGCAACAGAGCAAGACTCCATCTCAAAAACAAAAAACAAAAAAACAGGAATAATATTGTGAGTATCAGAAAACAGGGATGTGTTTCAGGGTCAATAAAGCCTTCTTGTTTGGAGTCTGTTTGCACGTCTGACCAGGCCAGCCTCCACCCCACCCCTATACTGGCCTCAGCAACAGGGCCTGAAGCCCCTTGGGCTCTCCCAGGGTGGGCCAGGTACAGTTGTGGGATCAGCAGGTTCTTGCAGACAAGACTAAGCCGAAACTCCCTCCTCTCTGCCTTCCAACACACAGACCTCTCCATCCTAAACAAACAGAAACCTGTGCTTACTCCTCTGAGAGCTGTGTCCTCTGTTGTAAAATGCAGGTAACAATCCGGTGCGTGTGTGGGAGACTGCCTACCCCAGGGTAGGGCCCACAGGCCTTCCCAGCCTTCCCTCCCACCTTGGCGGGCAACCCTTGGCCCCTCCTACCCCATGCCTGCTTTCCACAGGGGCACTAGAGGGACTGGTCTGATTTGAGGCTCTGTGCAAAGCGAGCCCAGCCTCTTCCTCCAGGCTGGCCTCTGGCCCCTTCCTGTGGCTGGCTTGAACCTCAGGAACTTGGGATCCACAGCCCCCTTCAGGAAATGCAGAGCTTCTGCTGGGCAGAGTGACTTCCAGGCCGCCTTTCCTGCGCCTTTCCACCCTGAGGACCACACAGGCTGTGACCGGGGGCCCTTTCTGGAGGGGACATTCGGTTTTTGTGGCAGGGACTTCCAAACTGAGGCCAAAGGAGGAGGGTCCAACTTCACCTTTGGCACCCCTTTCATCCCCTTTTTTGGGTCTTCTTTAACTGCAACGGGGCGGGACCCTCCTCCGTAGTCCCTGGGGCGGAACTGGCCCCGTTGCTCCACCTGTCCCCACCTCCACCCGTGGGCGGTCCCGGCCCACGCTGGAAGGTCCTTAAGCCCGGGCGGCCCGCGGGACCGGTGGAGACCCATGGAGCCGCGGACGATGGCAGGACAGACGGGGGCAGACCCCGGGTTGGCCGAGCCTGGGGCCCTGTGTGCACAACAGGGCCACCGCACCTACGCTCGCCGCTGGGTGTTCCTGCTCGTAGTCAGCCTGGTCAGCTGCTCCAACGCCATGGTAGGGGCGGGGACAGGGACAGGGGGCTCCGGGACCCTCGGTCCCTTCGGACCAGCTGGGTTTCATTTTCCTGTGGCCACAGCCCGAGGTGCCAGGTGCTGGCTGGGGCCGGGGCCAGGGGGTGCCTTCTGGGGGTGGCTAGGGGGTGTGGGCACCGGGGGCACTGTCTGTCCTGGAGGTGTCGGGGCCCAGGGCACAGAGCAGGAGGGCTAGGTGCCCAGGGGGATCTGCCAGTCATGGAGTCCCAGCCCTTCTCAGCCTTCAGTGGCTCCAGCCAGTGGCCTGGGTCCCTCTTCCCCAGCCAGTCACATACAGGTGGCCCTGCAGTGGCCCTCCCTCCCTCCACGCCTCCCAGCCCCAGGACAGCAGGCACAGAGCAGAGGTGGGCTTGGAGCCGCACTCTCCTCCACCTGACTCTGAGTGAGGGGCGGCTCCTGGGCTGGGCTGGGCTCCATCCTGCCCCCACTCCCTTCCCGTGCTGCACGCTGCAGCCTTTCCTGCCCTGTGCGCCCTCATCAACCATTCCAGGGAGCCTCAGGAACTGGTTGGGCAGTATCTGGGCAATGTGCAATGAACAGCTAGAGTTGGCAGCAGGACCCACAGCTTAGGGAGGCGCCAGGTCACGGGGATGGTCAGGAAGCTCAGAGTCAGGAGCAGGAGCCGCTCTTAGGCCTGGGTCAGGGTTCTTCCAGGTGGACCCCGGGGCCTCTCCCCTCCTCCTTTGCTGGCTGGGTATGGAGAACCAGCTCCCGGACGAGACAGGCCTGGGATCTGCTGGATGGGCCTGGGGGCTGCCTGCTGCCCACAGATGCTGGCACACGCCGTACGTAACTCACTGCCGTGGCTTGGCGTCCTGGCCCACCGTGTCCAGGCACTGGGGGAGCCATAACTGACTTTGGGTGGAGCGTCTGAGGGTGTGGGCTGGTTCGATGGTCAGTAGGTGTCCTGGGTGTGGGGCATTCCTTGGACAGTCAAGGGCCTCCTACTGCAGTTCTTCACCGTTGTAGCAATACCCACAAGTCATCATGGAGCACACAGAAATCTCACCCTGACACCAAGAGTCGTCATGGTCTCTGCCTGGGTCACCGCAGTGAGCCGTGAGCACCACGTTCACTCCAGCCAAGTGCCCTTGAGGCTGGAGTTACTCATCTGCAGCCAGTGACCAAGGCTCCCGGGTTCCAGCGGGCAGCGTAAGGGGTGGGCGGAGCAGAGCTTGGGTCAACACCCACCTAGAAGGCAGACAAGCCCAGTGCTCTGGATGAGACTCAAAGGACCCAAGGGGGTGAGCGAGGGCAGGGTCGAGGCTGGGAGAGGAGGAAGGGAGTTGGACAGATCGTCCTCCCACGTTGCCCCGCACGCTTCAGACGCATCTCTGCTCAGTGAGTCAGCTGTGGGCCTCACTCAGGCCCCCGAGGAAGCAGGACAGGGCTGAGGCTGGAGCGGCGGGCTTGGCTCTGCAGGGCAGGCTTTGTCAGTGGACGCCTGGCTTTCTCTCCGTGGGCTCGGCCAGGCAGCCATCAGCTGGGCTTGGGGAGCTCGTTCTGTGCCTGGGAGATCTGCCCCTGGCCCTGTCCTGCGGAAAAAGGAAGACAAGGTGGCTGTTGCCCAAGCTCCCTGTCCTGTCCCGTGGGCTGAGTCAGACCTCGTCCGGGCGGAGCCTGGGTCTGGCTGCTCTGCCGGAGGGTGTGGTCTGGAGCTCGGTGGACTCATGGAAGTTGACCTTGAGTGACACAGCCTCCTCGGGGCCCACGCGTGGACGCCCTCCTCCCTCCTATAGTGAGCCCTGGTGACCGGCTCCACTTTGACCTCCCTCAGGGATGAGCCAGTCTCACCTCCTCTAGGAGGCCTTCCCCTCGGCCGCAGTGTGCACTCGTGCTGTGTGCCGGACGTCTGTGGGGTGGAGAGCCCTAGCACCTGATAATGCCTGCGGGGTGGGGAATGGCATCCGCTCTGTCAACATTCTGCCCAAACACCTGGGCCTTCTGGGAGGGAAGGTCGGGCTGGCTTTGGGTGGGGCTGGCCTGCAATCCCAGAGGTTCTAGCTGAGACCCTGTCATGCGCGTCTTTCCCTGGCCTGCCTTGGAGCCCCAGGTCTGGTCTGGGTGGGGCTCGTGGTCCTGTGGGCTCTGGCCAGGTCCTTGGCCTTAGTGTCTGCCCCTCAGGCTGATCCCCGGTCAGGGCATGCTTTCTGACCCTGCGCTGGGTGCCCTCCCTCGGGGAAGGCAAGGTGGCACTCTCCTTGGGCAGGAGGGCCCTGTGTCCAGCTTGCTGGATCCCCTCGGCCTCACAGGCCTGCTGGCACTCTGGCTCCCTCGGGCTGGCTGGGGCCAGAGCACGTAGGTCCGGGGTCTGTGGCTCTGTGCTGACTCCCACCTGGCCCCTGCAGCTGTGGCTCAGCTTTGCACCTGTGGCTGACATCATTGCCGAGCACTTCGTCCTGTCCATGGTGCAGATCAACTGGCTGTCACTGGTCTACCTCGTGGTATCCACCCTGTTTGGCCTGGTGGCCATCTGGGTCCTGGACTCCGTCGGGCTCCGTGGGGCGGTGAGTCAGACCCCACACCGTGGCCCGCTCTGGGACAGGGTGAAGGCCCCTGCATTTGGGTACGAGAGTCAAGGCCTCCTCCCCAGACCAGGGCCCATCAGTCCCAACAGCTGGGGACCCAGCAGAGCTGTCAGGGTGGCTGCAGTGGGAAGTGCAGGTGCTGGGAGGACGCGGCAGGCACCTGGGTTGGCGGCAGAGATCCTGACCCCGTCCCTGACACCCTCCTTGCAGACCATCCTGGGTTCGTGGCTGAACTTTGCTGGGAGTGTGCTACGCATCGTGCCCTGCGTGGTTGTTGGGACCCAAAACCCATTTGCCTTCCTCATGGGTGGCCAGAGCCTCTGTGCCCTTGCCCAGAGCCTGGTCATCTTCTCTCCAGCCAAGGTGGCTGCCTTGTGGTTCCCAGAGCACCAGCGAGCCACGGCCAACATGCTCGCCACCATATGTGAGTTCCGGGGAGGGAGGCCGCCTGCCTGGGCTTACCCCAGGGTCTCTTCTGGCTCCACGCACAGATACTCAGCTCCCCGGGCTCTCTGGCTAGGGTGGAGGAGCTGGGGCCCAGAAGGTTCTGCCTGTGGGCTGGAGAGGAAGCCGGGCCACAGCCGAGCTGATGCATTTCCCTGTGCATCCGCCCACCCAGCAAACCCCCTGGGCGTCCTTGTGGCCAACATGCTGTCCCCTGCGCTGGTCAAGAAGGGCGAGGACATTCTGTTAATGGTGAGGGGTCATGAGGCGCCCGTGCCTGGCCTGTGTGGTGTGTGCGCATGCGTGTCTGTGTGTTCCTGAGCCCAAGCGTGTCCGTGTTCCTATGCCTGTGTGTGATTCCCCCTGCCCCGCCCCCCGAGAAGGAGTCTCAGCCTGTCACCCAGGCTCGACTGCAGTGGGCGCAATCGCGGCTCACTGCAACCTCCACCTCCTGGGTTTAAGCAATTCCCTGCCTCATCCTCTGGAGTAGCTGGGACTACAGGCGTGCGCTACCATGCTCAGCTAATTTTTTTTTTTTTTAATATTTTTGGTAGAGTTGGGTGGGGTTTCACCATGTTGGCCAGGCTGGTCTCAAACTCCTGACCTCGTGATCCTTCTGCCTCGGCTTCCCAAAGTGGGATTACAGGCGTGAGCCACCGTGCCCGGCCAGTGTGTGATGTTACTATGCATGCCTATGTGTATCGAGTGTGTGTGGTGTGTGCGGTGCGTGTCTCTGTTCCTGTGCCCATGTGTGTTGTGTGGTGTGTGCCTGTGTGTGCTCGTGCATGTGCATCGGGTGTGTGTGGTGTGTCTGTGCTTGTGACTATGTACTGAGGGTGAGCGTGTGTGCATGTGTGCCTCTGCACCCATCGGTGTCCGTGTGTTGAGCCCTGTCACGGGCTGTGCAGCTGACAGTAAGATGAGTCTGGAGCCTGGGGGTGCTGGGCTAACGTCAGCCAGGAGGGTGTCACTGGTGAGGGGTGTGTTGACAGCCAGGGCTCCCTATCAGCCCCTGGAGCAGGCAAGGATGAAGTCAAGCAGGCCCCTCCCAGCCTGGGCCTCGCAGAGGGTGGCTGCAGACCAGGGGTTGGGAGGCAGCCAGTGGTGGGGCAGGAGGAGCTGAGAGGTGGCACCTGGGGCAGGCAGGGCTGCAGCGTGTGTGGGCGCCAGTCTGCGTGGTCTCCCTGTGCGCACACACACCCCTCCCCAGCTCGGTGTCTACGCCATCCCTGCTGGCGTTGTCTGCCTGCTGTCCACCATCTGCCTCCGGGAGAGCGTGCCCCCCACCCCGCCCTCTGCCGGGGCTGCCAGCTCCACCTCAGAGAAGTTCCTGGATGGGCTCAAGCTGGTCAGTGCTGTGGGATCCCCGGGGTAGGGTGGATTTGGGGGCTGGGGCGAGAGGCCGAGGAGGGGATGGGTTTGGGAAGGGCCCCCAGGGCTGCAGGGCTGAGACACTCTTTCCCCGAAGCTGGTGCGGAATAAGGCCTATGTCATCCTGGCTGTGTGCTTCGGGGGATGCATCGGGATCTCCTACAGCTTCTCAACCCTCCTGCAGCAGATCCTCTGTGCAAACGGCTACTCTAGTGTGAGCCCTGGCCCCACCCATGGGGGCTCTGCCTCTGTCACCCACCCCATACGGCCACGGAGTCACCGCTGCCTCTGGGGTGCTCCGTGTCCGACCCTGGCAGGGGCCACATTGATGCCCTTCTGTGCTGTGGGCCCTCCCGAGATGCCTTGGGCGACATTATGTCCACAGGCGGTGGAGGTGGTGGGCACAGCTGCAGCGAGGTGGTGCAGCTGTGGGATGGAGTGGAGGGACTGATGGTGCATGGTTGGGAAGATGGGGCCCCCAGGGCTCCCAGTGCCCCTTCCCAGCAAGGCCCCACCCCTGTGGGTCTGCAGGACAGGGCCATCTTCTGGTGTCCAGACATGCAGCAGGGAGGGCCTTGCTCTGCTCACACATTCTGAGCTGGCCCTCTGCCCTCTGGGATCAGTGCCCGGTGTAGGATTGGGGGCATGTTTCCACCTTTGCCAGGGCCACAGGCACCACGGCCCTATGGGGCCTCTGTGGCAACAGGCTCTTCCCTTCAGCGATTGCTTTGCTCTGGGGTGGGGTGGGGAACATAGGGCAGGAAACCCTACACCGCAGGCAGCCAGCGGTGCGGCTGGAACCTGTGTTGCTGTGTCTGGGCCTTGGGCACAGCACACAGCCCTACCCTGAGCCCCCTGCCCTGATGGTGTGCACCTATGATAATGGCGGCCTCTCGGGGCCCTGGCCTCTCCTTGCCTCCTCCAGGGGTTTTCTGGCCTCTGTGGAGCTCTCTTCATCGCGTTTGGGATCCTGGGGGCGCTGGCTCTCGGCCCCTACGTGGACCGGACCAAGCACTTCACTGAGGCCACCAAGATCGGCCTGTGCCTGGTCTCTCTGGCCTGCATGGCCTTTGCCCTGGTGAGGGTCTCCTCAAGCCAAGACCGTCCTGCGGGGGTGGGTGGGTGGTGAGGCCCGGAGAGGGCGGTTGGCAGCTTGGCTGGAACAGAGGTCCGGACTGTCTCCTGCCCGGCCTCTGCCAGCTAGGGTGGCCCCTGGGTGGGATGGGTTCTCCCGCCCCATGCCCCGTGTCCCATGAAACCAGGTCCAATTCTGACCGCCACCCCCTCCACCTGTCTGCCTGCCGTTTCGCTGCTCCCAGGTGTCCCTGCTGCAGGGACAGGCCCTTGCCCTGGCCACCACCTGCTCGCTCCTCGGGCTCTTTGGCTTCTCGGTGACCCCCGTGGCCATGGAGTTGGCAGTCGAGTGTTCCTTCCCCGTGGGGGAGGGGGCTGCCGTAGGCCTGATCTTTGTGCTGGGGTGAGTATCCATCTGCCCCTGCTGCTCCCCAGAGATACTCCCCTTGCTCCACCCCTACACCCCTGGGGTTGCACCGTGTGGTCCAGGCCCCTTTTCGGGGAGGTGGGGAACCTGCCTGCTCTGGCAAGAGCCAAGCAGGTTCTGAGCACCTGCTGTGTGCAGGCCGGGCCAGCTGATAGGGCCTGTGACCGAAGCTGTGTGCTGCCTTCGGGAGGGTGGTGGCAAAAGGGACAGCACTGATGTCAACACTTCCCAAAGTGGCACCTGGCTCTGAGGGGATGGGCAGTGCAGCGGGGGCTGAGGGCCACGTGTGTCTAGGCAGGTCGAGGGAATATTCATCATGCTGGCGATGATGGCACTGACTGTGCAATGCTCGGAGCGGTCCTTCTCCACCTGCCAGCAGGGGGAGGATCCACTTGACTGGACAGGTGAGCACCACATGGAGAGTTCCCGGGGAACGGGACAGGTGAGCCCCACGCAGGGAGTCCCTGGGCAACAGGACAGGTGAGCCAGGACAGGTGTGGCCAAGATCAGAGGTGGGTTGGCACACCCATATCCCAGACCCCATGCTGGTGACCTCTCTCAGGACCTGGGTCTGCAAACACCCCCTCAGGGCTGTCAAGAACTGGGAGTGGGCTCTGTCTGGGGTCACTCTGTGGTCAAGGGTAGTGGTGTCACCATAGGCCAGCGTCCGGCTCTGCCCATCTGTGGCCCCCGGGGCTTGGCTGTGGGGACAGCTGTGCTGTGTGTCCCCAGCGTCTGTGCTGCTGATGGCCGGCCTGTGCAACCTCTTCAGCTGCATCCTGGTACTCTTCTTCCACACCTCATACTGGCGCCTGCAGGCAGAGTCTGGCAAGTCCTCCTCCTCCCAGAACGCGTGCCCAGGCGCCGAGGACCAGGAGTCCCCGCCGGAAACTACCCCTTGAGGCCCCAGCATGGCACTCCCAGCTTGGAAGTTCAGGGCCAGCTCATTCCTGGAGCCGCTTCTCTGGGCCCTGCCATCTCCTCCCAGAGCCCCAAGATGCGGAGACTGACCAGGGACGTGTGGTGAAGGGGAGGCAGGCTCGGGTCACCCAGGCTGTGCCCACCACGCCAGACAGCTGGGCGGAGGGACCCAAGGCGTTCGGCGCACTCACGGCCTGGGGAGAGCCCCTGGGCCCGAGACTGATGCGCGGCTGAGCGAGAGGGCTGCTGCTGTGTGGA